TTTGTTTGTTTGTTTAATAATCATTTTATTAGGGGCTCATACAACTCATCACAATCCGTACATACATCATTTGTGTCCAGCACACTAGTACGTATGTTGACTTCATCATTCTCACAACGCCTGCTTTCCACTTGAGCCCTTGGTGTCAGCTCCTCATTTTTTAGCATTCCGTTTCTTAATTGGGGTCTTCCAGTAGGAGGGGATACCATGAGTCTGGTTGCTAAGGAGAGGATGCCCTGAGTCTGGTTGCTAAGGAGAGGGTACCATGAAGCTGGTTGCTAAGGAGAGGATGTCATGAGTCTGTTGCTAAGGAGAGGATGCCATGAGGCTGGTTGCTAAGGAGAGAATGCCATGAGTCTGTTGCTAAGGAGAGGATGCCATGAGGCTGGTTGCTGAGGAGAAGATGCCCTGAGGCTGGTTGCTAAGGAGAGGGTACCATGAAGCTGGTTGCTAAGGAGAGGATGTCATTAGTCTGTTGCTAAGGAGAGGATGCCATGAGTCTGGTTGCTAAGGAGAGGATTTCATGAGTCTGTTGCTAAGGAGAGTATGCCTTGAGTCTGTTGCTAAGGAGAGGATGCCATGAGGCTGGTTGCTAAGGAGAGAATGCCATGAGGCTGGTTGCTAAGGAGAAGATGCCCTGAGGCTGGTTGCTAAGGAGAGGATGTCCTAAGTACTGATACCTAAGTGCCTCCTCCTTGCCTCCTTCCCTCAACCACCCTCCTCCTGAGGTGGAGGTGAGGGGTGGGGGAAGGCAGCCAGGTAACTTCTCTCTCCCCAGATCCATATGTCAAGGTGCACTTGCTCCAGGGAGGCAAGAAGGTGAGGAAGAAGAAAACTACCATCAAGAAGAACACCCTGAACCCCTATTACAACGAGGCCTTCAGCTTCGAGGTACCCTGTGACCAGGTCCAGGTGAGCCTAGACCTGCCCATCGCCCTGACTCTGCAGCCCATCCCCAAGGGCCCCAGACCCTTAGAAACCGCCCAGTGCTATGAGGAAGAGACACTCTTTAGCAACACCCTAGAGACCTGGCGATGCGAAGTTGGGTCCTCAACCTCTTCCTCCTCCTGGGGGGACCAGGAGGCCCACTCACTCAAGGAAAGGTGTTTTCTTATGATTTACCAACAAGCGAACCCAAAAGCATGCCATCCAGTCAGTTCTGACTCAGAGCAACCCTATAGGACAGGGTAGAGCCATCCCTATGCGTTTCTGAGACAATCTCTCTTTACAGGAGTACTAAGCCTCACCTTTCTCCCAGCTCCACGGGTGTTTTTTGGTTTGTTTTCTAATAGGTCATTTCGTTGGGGGCTCTTAGAGCTTTTATCACAATCCATACATCCATTGCATCGAGCACATTTGTCCATATGTTGCCATCAACATTTCCAAATCATGTATTTTTCTACATGAGCCCTTGGTATCAGCTCTGAATTTTTACCCTCCCTCCCCCTCTTTCCCACCCTGGTATGCCCTTGATAATTTCTTAATTAGTTTATTTTCATATTTTACACTGACCACTGCCTCCCTTCACCCATGTGTCTGTTGTTTGTGCCCCTCAGTGGGAGGTTTTGAACTGCTGACTTTGTAGGTAGCAGCCCAGTGTGTAACCTCCATGCCACCCGGGCTCCTGATTCCTCTCCATTAGGTTCATCCCAACTTGGGTGTCTAGCCCCACCCCTGGGGCACTCCCAGCAAACCTTCTGAACCGGGCTGACCTGGGCCCTCCAGCAAACCCCTAGTGAAGGCCCCAGTCCTCGATCTTCAGCCCCCTTGAAAGCTGATCCTAAGGCACCCTGGTGTAAGTGTGGGGTAAGTGGGTTCTGCATCAAGCGCTGACCAAGGAGCAAAGTCTGCAGTTCAAACCCACCAGCGACCGCCAGGGAGAAAGATGAGGCTTTCTACTACTCTCAAGTGTCACGGTGTCAGAAATGAAACCTTCGAGGTCCGTTCTACCCTGCCCTGTAGGGTGCCATGAGTCTGGTTGCCAGGGAGAGGATGCCATGAGTCTGGTTACTAGGGAGATGGTGTCCTGAGGCTGGTTGCTAAGAAGAGGATACCTTGAGGCTGGTTGCTAAGGAGAGGATGCCATGAGTCTGGTTGCTAAGGAGAGGATGCCATGAGTCTGGTTGCTAAGGAGAGGGTGCCATGAGCCTGGTTGCCAGGGAGAGAATGTCCTAAGCAATGATACCTAAGTGCCTCCCCTGGGCCCGCTTCCCTCAACCACCCCTTCCTCTTCCTCTCCCCACCCCTGTCCACCTCAGAAGGTGCAAGTGGAGCTGACCGTGCTGGACTACGACAAGCTGGGCAAGAACGAGGCCATCGGGAGGGTGGCGGTGGGGGCGGCGGTTGGCGGCGCTGGCCTGCGGCACTGGGCGGACATGCTGGCCAATCCCCGGCGGCCCATTGCCCAGTGGCACTCTCTGAGGTCCCCTGACCGAGTGAGACCACCGCCTGCACCCTGAGCGCCACCCCCAGGCCCCTGGCCAAACCCGGACTCAGGCCACTGGACCCAAGACTTCTGACCCACCGGGCCCAAGTCAAATCCACTGCCTTCTCCAAGCCTTCTCTGCCACTAGCCCTGCCCCTGCCCTACACTCTGATCCACTCCTGCCCTCTCCCCCTCCCCCTCCATTATGCCAATCATGATAACTTGCCAACTTTGCACCCATGTACACACCTACAAGTCCCAGGGACCCCCGGTGGGTGGGGGGAGGGGAGCTGCCAGGCCTCCCCCTGCCCCAGGGGTCCCCCCTTCTGCTTTGACAATCAGTGGTCACCACCCTCTGCAGGTCCCTTCCCCTCTACAGGATCGCACACGCCAGGGTTCCCAACCTGATCTCACACTCCCCCTGGGTTCAAATAAATGCTCAGTAGCTGCGGTGACCTGGCCCTTGGCTCCTTGGGGGGAGTCGGCAAGAACTGGGACCCCAGAAACCTCTGTCTCTGGTCTCTGAAATCTGCCTGATCGAACTGCCACCAACCGTGTTGTAGCGCAATTGTGGAGCTCTGTGCTGGTGGTGGTGGTGGCAGCGAGGAGTCTGTCCGGAGTGCTATCAACCCCATGTCCCACGGGACAAAACGCTGTCCGGCTCTGGGCCACCGCACAGCGCTTGCCAAGGTTGGCGTCACCGCGTCCGGCCATCTCAGATCACGGCGGGCCTTCCTCTCTTTCGCCGACCCTCTCCTTGACCGGGCGTGATGCCCTCTCCAGGGAACGGCCTCTCCTGAGACCAAGCCGCGCCATCCCTCCTCTGAGCAGCCTCCTGGCCGCGCTCCCTCGAAGACGGCTTTGAGTGTTCTTGGGGGCAGCCCATGGTACCTTCAGTATTCTTCGCCTGCGCCGCAATGTAGACCCATCCGATTCTTTCCCAGTCTTCCTTATTCCGTGTCCAACGTTCACGCACATCTGAGGCGACTGGGAGCACCACGGCTTGAGCCCGGCCCGGGCATCTTAGTCTTCAACGTGTCATCGCTGCCCTTGACCGCTTTCAAGAGGGCGGGGCAGTCGGTGTGCCCAACGTGACAGCTGGTCGCTGTCGGGCTTCCTGACTGCTGCTTCTGAGCGCTGACGGTGGATTGTGGATCCAAATCCAGTTCTACTTGGATTTCTGGAAGCGGTTGTCCTTACTCACTGGGTGCCACGGAGTGGGCGGCCCCCTCTCTGTACAGCAGAACGCCCACCCCTGCGTCATTCTCACAATTGTTCTTGTTTGAGCCCACCGTCGCAGCCACTGTCTGCATCCACCTCACTGAAGGTCTTCCTCTTTCGCCGCTGGGGGCTAGACCTCCAAAATCCGAGGAATTGCTGGTGTTGGGGGTGGGGGGGTGAGAGCGCAGGAGGGAGCCACCGGGGAGACGCCATGTGAAGAACCAGAGCTGGAGGCATAAGAGCCTGCCTGGGCCGTCAACAGTCGGTTCTCTGAAGCTTGGTGTGTTGGTGTGCCTGTTCCCATGGTGTAGACACTGCGCCTCAGTTGATTTCAAAGCACCAACACGAACTTGCTGAATGTGGAATTTGAAAAGTGGTGCACCCCATCTCTTCAAAGCATTTCCCATTTCCCAGGGCCAAGACGAGGGTTCCGAAATGTACTGTGATTGTTAGGTGCGGTCAAGCCGGTTCATAGGGACCCCATCCGTGTACGACAGAAGGGTCACGGTGACCCCGTCCATGTACGACAGAAGGATTCATGGTGACCCTGTCCATGTACGACAGAAGGATTCACAGTGACCCCGTCCATGTACAACAGAAGGATTCATGGTGACCCTGTCCATGTACGACAGAAGGATTCACAGTGACCCCGTCCATGTACAACAGAAGGGTCACAGTGACCCCATCCATGTACAACAGAAGGGTTCACGGTGACCCCGTCCATGTGGTGACCCCGTCCATGTACAACAGAAGGGTCACG